GTACAGTACTCAGATATACAGTATGTTTGCAGATAGGGGATCCTAATGTTATTTTCTTTTTTATTCCCATATAATACTTTGCTGTGAAGAGTAGACAAATATTGCTGGTTCCCATAATGTGTAACAGGGTTGCCAAAAACGGATTAAAGAACTTTAAAAAGTTTTGGCTCACCTTCACAACTGACATCTCGTTACCACTGAAATTTCTAGTCAGAATTATAGCCTGGACCCTCAAAACATGCATGATGATGCCTGCCACTATTACTGTGATCTAGTGGCTTTCTTGGTACTTATGGGATCCCACAGGGGCACAAAATAAACTCCAGCAGTGGCTACTTTGTTTGCTTCGAGCTCGTTTAAATGTCTCCATCACATGAGTAGAACTGTTCCCAGACAACTGGTAAAATACTTGCCAGCCACAGGATTGCTTTCTGTACTGTCAATATGCAAAATGTGCCAACTCCAGAGCTCTACAATAAGTTACTTATTTCTGCCCCTAAACATTCCTTTTAGAAATTTAACATGACTGCCCAGTTTTCCCCTGCTACACACTGGACTAGTTCCTTTCATCCCCTGCCAAGCTTCCTTTGAACCCTCCCCTTGTCTTGATGTTCCTCCATTTCCCATATTCTACTACTGCATTATTGGTGACTGTGTATCTATCTATTCTTTATCTAAGCCCGGGCTAAGATTAGTCTTTCGGGTAGAGTAGGGAGAAGGGGCAGGGGCCAAGTAAGAAGAGCAATGATATGCCACTTCCAGAGACAGCTAGTAATTGCTTGACAATTTTACCATCTCTATTTTGATGTAAAAAATGTGTTTCACGCATGTCATCTTTCACTGAAAAATTTGGGGGGAATAACCAAGGTCAGGGGCTATAATACATAGCTAAGATACCTGAACTAGTATTCTTAAGAATATCAGTTTATTTGGAATTTGCAGAACTGATTCTTGGACTTCTTTGGAGGTCTTGCAATCTATGTAAACATCCAGCTATCCTAGGGGAGAATTTTCCCCCCAGCATACTCCCAGAATAAAGAGTTGCTGTTTTCTGGAGTGCAGGTTCTAAGCTTGAATTTGTTGATAGACAAGTGAGATGTCAATAGGTAAGCCTTAAATAAGGGCAGTGCTGGATGGAATCAGTTCATTATTGTTATTGTTTATGGACAAATATAAGCAATATGAAGACTGGAAAGCAAAAGAAATAACATGTTTACTGAGCAGAGAAATGACCCTGAATTTAAAAAGCCATCCTCTGTACCCAGATGGATGGACAGACAGATGATGCCCAGGTTTCCTTCCTTAGCAACCTGGGATTGCCAACTCTAGCTAAAACCAATGCTGGATATACGAACCACTGGCCAATAAATATGTCTGTGTAACACACATGTATACATGTATACACATATATAAGTGCCAAAAGTCATATTTGAGAAAAACGCAGGGCCAGAACAATTTTTATATTAATTGAGCAAACCACTAATTAAAATTAATTATCTGTACAATAAGGTAACTCATTTATAAAATCAAATGATCCCCACCTGCATATGCCAACAAATTCTCTCTCACATATATGAACCTATCTCTCACACACAAATATACAAGTATGCACACACATTCTGCTCCTTCCTTTTAGGTGAAACAACAAAGAATAAGAAAAAGGAACAGGATTTATATCATTCTTGCATACATTTGTGGAAAGGTTTGTTCAGTTCTCATGCAAAGAGCTTAGTACATTGATGTAGATAGCTGCAAAATGAATCATTATGCCAAACTGAAAGATATGAAATGGACTAAGACTGGATGGAAGAAGGGTAGACATACCTGTTTTCAAACAGACTAACAAAACAAAAAAGCTAGGCTAATAATGAACAGAGAATTTCATTGCAATATGGCTTTCTTTTTTTAATATGGCTAAAAAAATAATATTCAGAACAATACACGGCATTTCAACAATAGAAATCATTTTGGAGAGCCTCATAGTGAACAGTTGCTTCTGCAGAAAATGAGACAGCTTATTTCTTAAGCTGAAGCAGAAAGAACCCAAGTCTATATACCTTTTTTTTTTTAAATGGAAAGGTTTAGTTTTCTTCTATTAGCAAAGACATAGGCATCCACTGGGTGTATGCAGAAATGGGGATCAAAGGTACATGTATATCAACTTAACATTCTACATTTTATAAAACAGCCAGATCCTTTGTTCTGGGAATCCAGAAGCCAGTTTTACAGACCCAAGGTGAGTTGTAAGCCTGAAGCAACCAATGATGAAGTACCTTGGTTGTCTTCTTTAAAAAAGGTAGAAGACTATCCTGCCCTTCCAGCTTGAAAAGCCAAAGAAAAAAAAGGAAAGAAAAACAATTAAAGTGCTGCCATTTTTTAAATTCAGCAGTTCGAGTTACTGGCTGAAGCCAGCAGACATGGCCAACTGATGGGAAGACAGGACAGATGAACCATTGTAGCTTTGTCATGCAGGACATTATTGATACGGGCATGAGTCATCACCCTGGGAAACAAAGGAAAGTACTGAGAGCTTGGGCACAGGTGCTCCAGCTTACTTTAGCTGCACACTCAGAAAGGGAAGATGGGCCTTGGCAACCATAGCATTACAACTCTGCTGTGGTGTCCTCTGATTCTGTTTCCACACACACCTGAAGCCCTTATCTCAACTGCACGTTTCAGACTCAGGCTACATTTGCCTATAGAAGTACAAGAGTTACCAAATAAGTCAGTGAACCTTTTTCAACTGCTGCAGCTACCCCTTGATATAAATTATTTGAGGAACTGGAACCCAACACACTTGGCAGGGGGCGGTATGGAAGAGGCTGCTGTTTACAATATACAATATTTGTTTTGTCTGGAAAAGGGAAGCTGTGTTGAGCTGGCAAGAAAGCCTCAAGGTATTCTTTCTTATCACTTCTGAAGGTGTAGTGGGTGTAGATGTAGAAGGTGATGAAAAGCATCTGTACTTACACATATACAAATCATAGATGAGCTTCTGTTGAAAGGTACTTTCATTCCAGAAGCCTGAACTTAGTTTTGCGTACTTGTCTATCTCCCCAAAAAGATTCCATTCTGCAACTGAGATACTGTGAATCAAGGAAGATTTGCACACAATATTGTGCAAATCATAGACTAAAGTGGGACTCTTTGTGCTTCATCGACTTCAAAAGCAATCCCTAAAGAAAGCTTTACAGGCATTAGAAACAGAAGCGTCCAGCTGATGATAGTTTGGAGGACAGGGAGCTCACAAGATCTGTCATAACAATAAGTCATTATGATTGAAAGTCTTCCAAGGTACATTATAAGTAATTTTAGCTGCCATACGACATGGTCAGAATTTAAATTGTATAGCACAGCTGGTCTGAGCAAGAGTTAGACATTATTTGATAGCTACTACCGGTGCTAGTTCATGAACACCAGACTTTACATAGTAAGCTTATTCCAGCCATTAAACTGATTGGATTTTCTTCTTGCCTAGGTTCAACTCTTTATCCCCGGCCTTCCACAATGTTTCCACAGTCAAAACAGCCATTGCAAGTCATTCTTTTGTATCTTAAAATCATGTGTACTTTGTTTACAAGGAAGGACAAAGGCCAGTGGAATTTGGTTCCCATATAGATGCAAAGAAACAGAAACACAAGAGGCTCCTTTATACTGGGTCAAACTGTTTATTCAACATATTCCAGCCTTCTCCATCCCCAATGCCCTCCAAATATGCTGGGATTCCCAGGTGAGAAATTCTGGGAGTTGTCATCCCTACATATCAGAAAGGCCCCAAATTGGGAAAAGTAAGTTTACTTTGCCTGGCGAAAGATTCTCCAGCAGAAGTTTTTCCACTTAATTGCTCCCTTACCCTTTTCTCTGAATAAGCCAGGGAACAAATATAGGACTTTCTGGGTGTTAAACAACTGTCATGAAATTACAATACCCTCAGTCAACAAGAAGATGAAAATACTGGGCTGGAGACTACCTATGACCACTTCACAACTTTCTATAGCAGGCCTTCACCCTGATAGCAAGTTTATTTCAGAATACTAATACTAGCAACCAGAACCACCAAAATTACCCAAAGCATTTGGGTAGGTTTTCAAGAAGCCCTTAGTCCTACTTGCCAGCATACGCTGATCTCTTGTGTCTGATGTGGCACTAAAAATGAGTCCTGGCAGTCAGAACCTTTATGTGGGATGAAGAGTAATCACTAGGGAAAAGAAGGGGCCAATCAAAGCAGCCAGTAAGAACAGGCAAGGAGTAGAAGCAGGGAGGAGGAAGAAAAACAGTAGAGGAAGAAACCAGACCCTTCAACAAACATACTTATAAAATGAACACCACATAACATTTGAAAAACAACAAAAGTATGTCTTCAATTCTTGTCAGTTTATTTTAGCACTAACTGGTAATTGACTGAAACATGTTAGTGATTCACTCCTTGTCTACTTAAGAAGGTCCACTGAATGTGATAGGACTTCTAATAAGCACATACAGTATATGCACAAGTTAAGTTATGAAGCAAGAATATTACCAACTCCTTCTGAGCTATTTTCCCTGTGCAGTCTAATATACATCTACTCAGAAGAAAGATGGAGTTCAATGGAACTTACTCCCAGGTTGGGGATTTAAGATTGCAGCCTAAAAGAACAACTTTTAATTTTGGAATAAATATATCAGGTCTGCTATCAATATGGTTTGACCTAAAAATGTTTGCTAAAATGTATAAAATATAAGAACAGCTGGAGAGACCTGCCTTGTGGTTCTATGTGAAATAACTCAGAGTGCTTAAGAAAACAATGGTTTCCTCTTACTTTTGAAAACTTGAGAGCATTAAGAAACTCATATATATACACCAATTGGCCAGAATAACTCTTTCCTGCACATGGCACGGGTCCCTTGAATTTCTTTATTTCTCTCCTAGTATGTTTCCAGAAATCTGAAATCATAGGAAGAAATGCAAAAACATAAAAAAAGAAAAGAAAGGGAAATAAAAGACAGCTAACTAACTTTACCATGCAAATCCTGTTCGTTGGTCTTGGGGCTGCTCCTTGCTCTGCGTTCTGCTTTTTTGACGGCTGGCATGCCTCCACCACCTACGCCTCCACCGCTTCCTCCCCCATTGGTGGCCCCATTTTGAGTCTTGATGGTACCACTGTACACCGTCGTACATGCTGGATGGCTCTTGTAGATAGATGGAGGGCTGTTCAAACGGTTCTGGCGATCAATTTGTCTGTCTTTGATTTTTTTGTGCTGTGGTTTGTTGTACTGATCTTCCCTGGTTATATAACTTGACATTCCATATATAATTTCTGAAATGAAACAGGATAAAGGGATAAAGCTCAGATTCCAATGCATCTGCATTTATTTACCATGGAAATGTTCGATTTGGCTTCATTTGGCTAGCATCAATCTCACATGCTCCCTCTTGGGACCAGGAGATTCAAAACCTTTCTTACTGTCTTGTATGTGTCACAATTTGCCATGTCATCTGAACCCTAATCCATGGTTATTTCTAATGATAGTTAGTAAAACTGGTCAACTTATTTAACAGTAACAGCAATCCAGATCTCTCCATACCTTGTGCATGATGCAGTGAAGATGGAGTAAGAGCATTCATGCAAATGGTAATATATTTAAATATACCTTCTAATTAAGGGGCTCCTGTGTATACCAGCCTTCAATAATCTGTGGACTGGAAAATTCTGGGAGTTGTGGTCCAAGCACATCTGGAAGTTGCTGTGTTGGGTGCTGTTTTTTGCTCTTCTGCCTTCATTGTTTATGGCCTAGAGGTGGGTAACTCGCAGCCTAGATGCTGTATGTGGCCCTTAGGCCCTCTTTTTGCAGCCTCAGAAATCTTTCACACCTTGATTGTTAAAAATGGATGGCCCAAGTTTCCTGCCAGTTTAAAATGATATCAGGCTTTACCCAAGGTAGGAATGAACCATGTAGGCAAAGTCACAAGAAATCCAAGAACTTCAGAAAAACTTTTATTGACGAAAGTTAGAAGCCATAACCAAAGAATATCAGCAACACCTGTGATTCAAGAACAAGCCCTAGATCAGAAACAATGTTCAAATCCTCTTACATTTTATTGTCCTTCCTGTTGTACATAATGGACTATTTTTGACTAGGCTGACTTGTTTCCATCTGTCCTTTGTTTTTGCAATGGCCAAATCTGCTATTGTATTGTTTTTCACCGTGTGAGAACTAACTCTCAGATATGAGAAACAGATGAAAACTATAGTGTATACCTTTAATAAGCATCATGACTTAAAAATTAAAGAAAACTCACATTCTCCCACCAAACCCACTTCTTCCCATGATTGATCTGAGCCTACTCATTTTATAGCTTCTACTTCCTCCAATAGTCACTGACTACCCAAAAATTACCAATCTCTCTGTTACATATAAAATCTTCTCGTGCCTGGGAAAGTCACAAGACTTTCATACAAGGATGATACAGATAAAAGGATTTTATCAGCTTTTCTATAACCCTGGGGTTCATTAAGGATTCCTGCTACCAGCAACAATCCCAAATCTGCAAGATTGTTACAAAAAGAAGTATAAAGGTGCTTCATCTCCCTTTGTTACTGACAAAATGAGGCCTCTTGGTTGCTTTTAACAATGGCATTTCCAACAGGCTTCTGAGATCAAATGTCTTTTCCCAATTTAACTATGGCTGACCAAATAGAGCAAAAACAGAAGACTTAGACAAGTATATGCTCTATCTCATTGTCATGAAGCTGAAGTATCTCGAGGGGTGGCATACACAGCCTTTCATTGAAATCCTCCAAGGAAAGGCCATACCAGCTTCCTTCCTGGGCTGATAAGTAGGGATTCCCTTCTAATTGTTATCACAAATAGATAGTATAAACCCAGTGTTTCTGAACATCTTCTTTGGGGCAGGATTCTTCTAAGCCATCAAAAACACATTGTGCACATCATATATTCAACTGTATAAACTCTCCTATCAATGTAGTCACCTAATATTATTACACCTATATTATAGATGAGGCTTATAGTAGTTGCCGTATTTTACGCTGACGTACAAAACGGGGATCTAAGCAATCAAGGCTAACCGAGCTGCCTCATTTTCTCTCATTTTAACCCGGGGATGGGGAATATTTCTTCTGCCAACAGCTGTGTTTTCTTACTGTGTTAACAAAAGTTAGACCTCAGAGTGGATTGAGGTACCTCTGTTCTCTCGTGATCTGCCAGTCTTTCCTATTTTTATACCCACCACCCTGCTTGGCCATTTGCCAGAGATAGAAGAGATTGTTCTTATCTGAGGGCTGCTTGCAGAAGACTTTGGAAATTGGACTAAGGCATGCAGATTGTTCACCCTGGTTTAAGCATTTGAGCAATAAAATCATATGCACTTTCTCCACCACAATATTACTATCTGTGCTAAAACTATTTGGTTAATGGATACTTTTCTCCTAAGATACACCCATTCATATATTTGTCCCTTTTGGTTTCCTTTTCTCTGAATTATAATGCATCTGTTCATATTCAAGGATAAGTTGACCTATTTTATTCTTCTAGTACCAGATGCAGTGCTCCTGAGCTTGGATCACTTGGATAAGGGGGCAAATTATGAGAGAAGTTCATAATTTCTGTACACCCACATGGGATGCCATGTGTGCAGAAATTCCTGAGCAGGAAACTTTCAAGAACATAAGGTAAATGTATTTATTTGAACATATTTTAAATGGGCTAGACTGTGTATGATTTTATATTTTATTAGGGGCTACCTAGGATTGTAGAAGACAGTGGCATACAAATCTATGTATGTATATGTGTACAAACAAATAGAAATAGGGCACCTTTGGTCTTTCTACTGTAAATATTTGCCCCCAGTCAATTTCTATCAGTGTTAAAACAAGGCCTCTATGCATTCCTGTTAGGGCTCAGGGATACTCAACATCAATACAAGAGCCTTTGGGAACAAGCGTCATACAAATCAAGTCAAGTCAATAAAGTTGCAGACCCCGTCTTCTATTACTTCAAAGCTGGGAATACATTATAACCACATTAACAATGCTGCAAACATTTAAACATCAGTACTCCCCTCTGAAAACAAAAATATTTCCAAAATTACATCTAATCTAAAGGTGCAAAATGTATACACCAGTTCCCAGAATCCCCAACCAGCATGGGCATTCATGCTTACTGGAGATGTGGTATGTTGATGTTCCAATGCATCTGGAAGGAGAAAGGTGCTGAATATATTTCAAACGCAGTCCTGTTTCAAAAATTAAGACAGCACAGTAAACATGTAGCCTGGATTTGAAACTTTACAACTAAGTTTACCTTGCTCTCCATAAATGGTAGGCGGAAGATGATGCTGAGGAAAAAACTGGGGTGGTATATCTCCAGGCCCAGTAACAGGCGGGTAGAAAGCTGTATGAGAGTTATGAATGAAATGTGGATGATGGGTAAGGTATGGTGTTAAGTGGTGTGTTGGAGAAATGGCAGAAGGATAGCTAGCAGGATAGCACTCTGGAGACTGAGGTGTGACCACCACCCTGCGAACGCCTGTGCTGTCTTCTAATACCTGCAAAGGAAATGCAACTAGATGAGTAAAATCAGCATAATTTTTTGCCTGAAGAAGAAATAAATAAATAAATAAATAAATAAATAAATACAACAACAACAACAACAACAACAACAATCATCTTTTCCTTCCGTTAAAGAAAAAAGCTTTTTATGGTAAGGAAGAACATCTCTATATAAGAAAATCCAGCACTAGCAATTTCCATGATAACAGCTCATGGCAGACGTTCAGGCAGCCATTCTAATTATAGCAAGGCATTTTGTAATTGCTTTAACAATGAGAATTTGAATGGAGATCAAAGTACCACTACCGTGCATAAGTTACTTGTCCCTGTAAAGGACACATTTTCTTTTTGCATGGGTGAATACCAACAATTGTCTTTTGTTCAATATTTTTTGTGTATTTTGCCGATATGAAAACCAAGGGTTCAAAAACTAGGGAAATCTGGGATGTGAGTAATCAAGATGCAACAGCCAAAGTAGAAATTATGCCTATTATGTTTTATATTATTGTACAGAGCATATTTCATATAAAGTTTGGGTGGGATGCTGATTTTAAAAGCTAAAGGGCAAGAAGAATCTGTGTCTATCATCCATGGATTGTTTCCAAATGTCTGTATCATCCATAGATTGTTCTCCGAGATGATGGAGATGGAGGTCCAATGCTGAATCAAGTGATTGAAAGGAAAGCACATGAAGGAAGAGCATGATAGGAAGGTAATCAGACTCACTGAGGGCCTATTTACTTTTCTGGATCAGAAGCAGCATCCTGGGACATCTCCAATGGGCAGTTCTGCTGTTGCCTAGAAAATTACTGCCTTTTTTGAATGGTAAGAGGAAGGCAAATGAGCAGCTGTTGATGCTTGGCTTGCCTGCACTTTTCCCTCTGGAAGGTAAAGGAATTTGGGCTCATAGAAAAAGGGTAAAGGCTCCCATCCAAAAAATGTTGGGGAGAATAAAATAACTAAGCAGTCGAATCTATAGTTGGAACAGTTGATGGGACAGTTGCCACCACATCAGGTTTAACCCCCAGAAAGTCCCAAGTTCCAAGTCTCCTTGGCTTTAGTTCACGTTCAGCTCTTCTCCTGAAAATGATGTAGCTTCAAAGATTCTAGCCTTAGATGAGCACGCCCAAAGATTCTGCCAAACAATATATTAATTGTCCTTGGATTAAAAGGTAGGTCTCACTTTATTACCACGAGAATTAGATGCTCCATACATCTGTCCTTTTGGAACTTTATCCAAGGCTTCATAAAATAATTGAATCTGCAGTTACTTCAGTCTGAGATAATGCTCTATTTAATTTCAGAGGCCCATCAGTCCAATACTTCTACCCTATAAATTATAAACATTCCCTCCATAACTTATCCCAAGAGGTTTGGACCAAGTTAGAAATACAGCTGAGCCAAAAGAGAGGGAAAAAATTGCATGAAAACTTCAGGCAGTTCAGAAAAGTAGTCAATCTTTTAGTTATTACTCAGGCAGTAGATCTTCCTGTATCTCATTACTTCTAATCATCCATACTCCAATTATTACATACTTAGGGAGGATTCCTTACTGTAAATTTTATAGGGTACTCTTAAGACTTATCAAACATTCTGCTTTTAATTATATAGACTGTTCCCCAACCAATAAAGCTGCTGTGTGGATAAGAAAATTGATGGTAATCCACCTTTGACAGAAGTTTGGGGTGACATTTACAAAATGTTGGCTATCTGGACAGAATATTTTGGCTAAAGCAAGAGGATACATTGGGGGTCATGGATGAATTGATGGTTCTTTTTCAGACTGAATTAAGGAGATGACTTTAGTCTGGCAAACATTTACTATATATTAACCACTCCACAGGTTAATCTGTAAGTACACTAGCAATACTCAGTCAATCATCTGTATCAACAACCTTTCTTCTTTTGTGACATTCCAATTAGTCCTAATAAAGATGTTGATTTTTTTCCCCTAATGATCAAGAACGACTTCCTGTTTCCTCTCCTGCATGAATACAAACTTAAAATACATCCATATGTCATAAAATACAAAAAACGTATGATCCATGGTGAGGCAACAACTTTATGAGGATCAATCAAACTGACACAAAAGAGTATGTAAGCTTTTAAATTCTTCAGCACTCTTCTTCAGATAAAATGTTACCAAAAAAAGTGAGTGGAAAAACAGCAAACATTAAAAAAATGCGACCAGGTGTTATATCCATGTGGTTTGGAGTTTAGAATCTATCTCAAAATGGAGATGGAAGACTGAATGTGTTAGTCATTAGTACGATTGTATTAGCATTGGGAAACTGCCTCCTAAATTTCAAAATATGCCACAAATCAGAATACTGCCCTCAAAAGCTTGGTAGTGATCACACCAACTGGCAGGTGCAATCTGGAGTCTCACACCAAGATATTTTTAGCACTGACATCTCTGGATTGGGAACAGAGGATTACTAACATATAAATCATGCTTTATAACTGAGCAATGGCTTTTCTCCAGTGTAAACTAATGCAGACAACAAAACAGATAACAATGAAGGACATGCACACTGTCCATGCCAGAGGAAGAGCAGGGGATTGGTGTCCTTGTAAAACCCTTCTTTTTCCAAGATTCTGCTAACAGGGATGCTTCAGCTTGAAGCAAATCATGTAATCTATATCTGCCTCTTTGTTATCAGCTACACACATCTATGCCTGCCTCCTAATCTTTGTTTAATAGTAAATTGTGTTGTACATGCTCTGAACTCTCCACTGAAGTGAGATTTAGATGTCTTCCATAGATTTTATGCTAGGCAGAGCTTTCTTCCCAGATCTGCTCTTTTCCCCCAGTTCTATTCTGACTGGTTTGGAGGAACTAATCATACTGTGAGGGTTGAGTTGAGAGACAGAGTTTTGCAGGGCAGAGATGCCAGTTATGTCAACGACCAACAGTCACCCAGTTTCAAGGCTGAAAAGCGTAAGGCAAAAAGCCCAGTAGAGAATAAGCAAAAAAGGCACCAAAATTAAACTACAGTGGGTATAAGGAACTGCACTTTCATGTTGATAGATGCCAATCAACTATTTTAGTTTTCACCAGAATTTGTTATAAAGATTTTTTAAAATTAAACATTTTAAAGGAAAAAAGGACAAACAAGAAAAGAAAAAGAAAACTTGAGATAAAAAGAATAAAACACATAATGAGTAGACCAGAAATTTACAAACATGATGAAACTGGAAAAACTAAAAACTTCAGGTAAGAATTTTCAGTAGAGCGGTAGTTTGCTTTTGCACATTAAATTGTTTATGTCATTTTAAAAACTGCAGGTCATTATTATAATTAAATTACTATACAAGAATCAATGACAGAAATCAACGCAGTATAAAATGTGAAGCAAAATAGGAAGTTATAGTAATTTCTGTCTGGCCAAGAAAGCTCTGTCCTTATCTAACAGATTACTGAAGACTTAAATATTAAAACTTTATGTTTAAAAAAACCCCAAATATCAGATACAGTACAAGCTTGTGCATGGAAATGTAATCTGAACGTGGTTTCCACGCTGAGTCAAAATCTGGGTCAGTTTTGCTTTTCAAATATGTAGTGATTTCAGATGTCAAGGCATAGTCTTGCAACTTGATGTGCCATTCTTTGACTGCTCTAAAGAGTCTTCTTCTGCCATGTCACGGTCTGAGTCCAAAAGCCTAGTCAATCTTTGCCAAGTCAATTGTGAGGAAACTCCTGCTGAGCTCCCACCCATGAGCTTGCCAATGAGACAAGTGAGGTACACCTATTTATTAACTAAATGCAACGTTTGTAAACAATGTTTCCAGCCTATGAAACTGTTACGCTCCTAGGGGCCTCGCTCCATGATCTGTCCAATTCCGCAGCACGACGTAGGAAAGAGAGAGTCAGCCAGGGGAAGATGGAACTTTCATTTTTTGACTACAGAAAAAGGGGAGAAAGTGTGCATAAAGTCCTCTTCCATTATTTTCCACTGTTAGCAATGTTTTTAGGGGGCCCATCTTTTTTTTTTCCTCTTCCTTTTTGGTTGGGCTGCTAGAACACACTAAAAAGCCAAATCATGTAGTGTCACCAGGGTCTAGCTCTGAGGCAAGCCGTATGCCACTAACTGCAGATTAAAACGGGCAAATATATCCTTGGGGATAGTGTTATCACTGCTTTTCCTCTAAGTCTTTGTGTGTAGGAGAGAAGAGAGGACAGATCCTAATGTTGACTGGCCAGTTGGCAGAAAGAAATATAGCACAGGTGTAAGTGTGCTATTAGATTTTTATCATGCCTTTTATTCTAGAGCTCAAGGCAGTATATATGTATTTCTTCTACCCATTTTCCTCTATTCCCAGAGGTGGCTGGGCCAAGAAAGACTGGTCCAAAGTCACCCAGTAGGATTTCATGTCTGATGGATAGACCCTGGGTCTACACTCCTTACTTAAATCTGAATGCTTAGGTATTATTGTGTGAATCCTTTTTTGGATGTTTCAATTTGGGTTTGTTGTAGGTTTGCACAAGTGTGTGCATGTGTCTGCAAGAAAGAATTTATTTGCGTATCAGCCTATGTGTGGGGGAAATAAAAATGTCTCACTGCCCACTTTGGCCCTTGAGTTAGCCTATTACAAGTAGTCCTCACTTAACAATGGTAATTGGGACTGGCATTGTGGTCACTAAGTGATGTGGTCATAAAGTGCAACATCACATGACTGCACCACTTAGCAACAGCAGTTGCGGCAGCCCCAATTGCTATCATTAAGCGAGGACCATACAGGTCATAAAGTGAGGACCTCACGTAACTGCGACTTCTTGCAGCTTCCCCACTGACTTTGCTTGCAGGAAGCCATCAGGGAACATCAGAAACCATGATCATGTGACCTTGGGGATGCTGTGACTGCTGAACTCCAAGGACTGGTTGTAACTACCACTCGTTCAGTGCCATCGTAAGTTGGAACAGTCACTGAATGAGTGGTCATTAAACAAGGACAACTTGTACTGCTAACACAGCCGTTGCCTTTGGCCCCATCT